ACTCTGTTCCCCTTTTGTTAACTGTCTTGATATTTACTTTGAAAGCTGAAGCTGCGATTATGGTAAGAGGCTTTACATTTCCGACGAGTGCTTGCGGTGTTTGGCCAATCACAATGCATTGGGTCAGCTGGCCAATCAGAGCAGACTGCTCTTGTCGGAAGGAGGGACTTTGTAGAAAACGAAGCGTTTGAGAGAGGCGGGGCATAGAGGACCTACAATAATGTACAGTATTTGAAAAATAATGTGTTTTTTGAACATTAAAGCATGTCAACATATTCTGTTACACCAAATACACAAAATAATGATCTTTAAAAAAGCATCATATGACCCCTTTAAATGGTAGATGTGTTTATTTAAAGCAACTTGCAGTATATATTACCGTACGGTTGTTAAGATTTTTTTTATGTTTTTGAAAAGTCTTTTATGCTCACCAAGTTTGCATTTATTTGATAAAAAAAGCATATTAAAATAAAGAAATAATGTTGTAAAATATTGCAAAATATTATTACAATTTAAAATAACTTTTCTATTTTGATATTTTTAAATATTTTTTAAAAATATAAGCTATTCCTTGTGATGCAAAGCTGAATTTTAAGCATCATTACTCGGTGTCACATGATCCTTCAGAAATCATTCTAATGTGCTAATTTACTTAAAAATATGTCTTATTGTTATCAATGTTGTGCTAACAGTTGTACTACTTAGTATTTTTGTGGACACCATGGTACATTTCTTCAGGATTCTTTGATGAATAGAAAGTTCAAAAGAACAGCATTTATTTGAAATGAAAATCTTTTGTGACTTTACTGTCACTTTTAAATAATTCATCCTCGCTGAATAAAAGTATTAATTTCTTTTAGAAAAAAATCATCCTGACCCAAAACCTTTGAATAGTAGTACACTTATAATGGATAATCCTGCAGAACCGTTATCTAGTATGTTACTTACCCATCTCTTCTCGTTGTCGCTCTGAGAATCACTGAACTTTCTTTGGAAAGCCAATGTCTTTTTCCACATGACAATCTGATCTGATGTAATATTTCCTCTAGAGTCCATTAGGAATTCCAAGATGCTTTTACATCATCATTCACAGAGGCACAACAGCATTTAGTTTGGGAAATCATTTCTTGTGGATGATTGGGTTGAAACTATTTTTCACAAGCACCTTAGGAAGGAACATCTTTTTTTTTTCCTGGAACATAAAATAATATATTTTGTCCATACAGTGGAAGTCAATGGTCACCAAAACTGTTTGGTTACCAACATTCTTCAAAATACTTTTGTGTTCTGCAAAAGAAAAAATCAAACCGCTTTGGAATGACATGAGGGCGAGTAACTGATGACAGAATTTTCATTTTTGTGCAAACTGTGTCTTTAAAACTTGCAGTATCATTATTTTGTATTCTCTGCTTAGGCACAAGACAAGAGGAAAGCCCTTGAGGAGACCAAAGCCTACACCACCCAGTCCCTGGCAAGCGTGGCCTATCAGATCAATGCCTTAGCCAACAATGTGCTGCAGCTGTTGGATATTCAGGCTTCACAGCTGCGCAGGATGGAGTCCTCCATCAACCACATCTCTCAGGTCAGCCCTGGGCACCACAACACCAACAAAACACAACCAGGTGTTCCTTCCTTACCCAGCATTCATTAGAGATTAAAAAAAAAGACCAGTTATCTTCTGACTACTTTTAACACAGTGAAAAATGTAGAATCAGGGTTTAAGCTGAATTTTTTCTTTCATTGTTATAAATCCAGAACTTAAAGGCACAATATGTAAGTTTTTGCCGCTAGAGGTCGCATTTTCAAAACAATAACAAAGGCGAAGCTTGATGACGCTATGAAGGAGAGTGGAACGATGGCAGATGTTGTTGTCACCATCCAGAGATGTATGGAATTCACGAATCATGATCACGGATGAGGTAATGAATTATTTTTTTAATTACCTGTATGTACCTTCCACAGTTATTCAAACAGCGAATAAATTATGCCGAGAAAGCGAGCAAACAACATTTACAGGTTTAATGAATATTATGACTGACTTCAGTCTAGCGCGAGTTTAAGCACTCTCAAAAAACTCCCCTTATAAGCAGTAAAGCTGACTATACACGGTTTGATGAATGAATCTCTTACTTACATCATACGTACATCTGCACTTTGTTGTTTATGATGAGAGAATTTGCGTGGCAGCAGAGTTCAGTCAGCGAGCGCGTGCAGTGAACAAAAAACTCATTTGGTCAGGGTTGCCAGGTTTTCACAAGAAAACCTGCCCAATCGCTACTCAAAACTAGCCCAATCGTGTTTTGAGGGGGTCCCCAGTTAAAAATTGTGTTCTGGGGGATAAAATACACTTTTTTTGGCGGGGTTCCCCTGCTAAAATTCGCATTCCAGGTGATAAATATCATGTTATTGGAGTCGCTTCAACCCGCGGACATGAAAAACAACCGCGGCAACAGTGTTAAAGTAGCCTAATTCCTGCGGACTTGGCAACACTGCATCTGGTTATGATGACTCATCTGAATGCCTCTGATTGGCCATTGCATTCATAAACTCAACAGACTCGTGGGTGATTGGTTATAATGCGTAACACTTTTAAAGCGCGGAAAAAGAAACATTGAGCAAATCTAAATTGAATGCAGCAGTCAACACTTTTAATTTCATTTTTATTTTATTCGCGACAGCCGTAATGGATTTAGTTTAACTGTACAGCAGCATTTTTCATTTTTTTTAGTTTCTATAAGCGGAAACCGAGGATAGTGCGGATATTACATCATTGATAGGCGACAATGACCAGGGACGAGTCATTATTTAAAATGGGAATTTCTCTGGATTTACAAATCCTTGGGAACTTTTGGGATAACGTAAGTACACAACTGCATGAAATATATCACACTGTGCAAGTGGTTTTTGGATATTAAATCTTACATATTGTGCTTTTAAAACAAAGAGACAAAAATATCACCTACAATGTTTTTTACCAATATACTGGATTGAACATGATTCTCCAATTTTACACACTGTTTATCGCACACATGCAAAGTTAAAAACTATTATAAAATTCAGTTGGCATTTATTCATTTGTTCGTTCATTCAGTTAAAAATAAAATAAAATTTAAATAAACACAACAGTTGTAAAAAATATTTGACAATAATGTAAATGTTATTATTAAAACCTTCTGGCTGCTCCCTGTTTAAATTGCTTGGAGGTATGTAAATGACCAAAATCCTTTCCATGATATTAGTATTTTTTATTATTTTTTATTTTTACAATGACACAACTAATTTGCGACCACAGTAAAGAACACAATCTTGTTATAGTAATTCTGCCTGAAATCAGAGCTGCTACTAATTGAAATTAAAGCAATACTCTGTATTTATCAACATTAACAGCTTAAATGACTTCTAATTAAATTTGGAAATTCAAATCAGGCTCTTTGCTAACCAACTAATTTTCACTTAAGACAACCATTTGGATCTTTACTAATGCTTTCTGAGAAATATTTACTCTTGCTTACAGCAAAACCTAAAATGAACACAAATTATCGACATAACTTAAAAGCCGCTTTGAAACAATTTTTCAAATTTTCTTTCCTATGACCTGCCATTGAGTCCTTACATTTCGACCCTTGCAATTTTGTCATATTAGCGTGTGAGAGGAGCAATGTTGGGTGTAATTAGTTACTGTAATTTAATTACTTTTCCCTTGAAAAAGTAAAGTAAGGGATTACTTTTACTGTAAGTCGTGATTTGTAAAGAGCAACTCAGACACTTTTAGTCTCCTCTGTACATGCATCACCATTTGAACACAATGTAGGAGTGAATTCTTTCATCCAAAGTGGGAGATGGAGTGTGTTTATTAAGGGTAATAAGAGATCCCGTTCCCTTATCATGTGCTAGAGTAGATTTGCAGAGCCTTAATGGAAACTAGATCTAATGATTTGCCGCCATCTGAAGTTAAAAGGCTCCTTTGAACTAGTTTGCCACCACTTGTCTCTTAGAAGATAGACACAAATGGCAGGCAAATTATGTCAAAAATGGCAAAGTCTCAGATCCCAACATAATGCCAATAACACTTGATCCAGTGAGAAATTGTTTGTTCTAAAATATTGGATTCTGAATCAAAGCTATCTGAATGGTCAGTGAAAATTCAAATTCCTTGTAAGTTCACAAACAAAACAAAGAAAAGTGTGAGAATCTGATTTTATGAGCAGATTAGGAGATCATAAAAGGTATGTAAAATGTATATTTGTTCCAAAATTGTGTTATTACTTGTATAATACCTAATAAACAAACCTTCAAAAATTATATTTATTCTACATTTAAAGTATATCATGTTTTTATGTTCACTAAAGCTGGATTTATTTGATTTAAAAAAAAAACAACAGTGAAAATATTAATATTGTGAAATATTATTACACTTTTTGCCATTACTCCAGTCTTCAGTGTCACATGATCCTTCAGAAATCATTCTAAAATATGCTGATTTGGTGCTCAAGAAGCATTTATTATTATCAGCGTTGAACTGGCAAACAGAAAGTTCAATAGAACTGCATTTATTTAAGATAGATTTTTTTTATAAATCATTATAAATGTGTCTTCTGTCGCTTTTAATTAATTTATTGCGTCCTTGCTGAATAAAAGTAAAAATTTTAAAGTTTAAAAAAAAAAAAAACGTACTGACCGCAACTTTTGAACAGTATATGCAAATTTAAAATGTATCAGTAATTGGACATGAATCCTCTGTTAAATTCAATAGATACTGAATTATTTGAATTACTGTAATTATGTATAATGAGATTCATTAAAGATGTTTAATGTCATTCACTTTATCTGTACCTATCCAAATATATATGTGCAAGAACCTCGCTTTACATAAAAATCGCCTACGAATACTAATGAGGTCACGTTTCATTAGTATTCACACATCATTCATACACAATTTAAGCAGTATATACACGGATATGATATATTTACAATTCAAAATTTCATCCTTGACTTTCACTTAGACTGTGGACATTCATAAAGAAAAAGTTGCTAGACGAGAGATCGGGATCCTCACCACCAACAAAAACACATCTCGGACCCACAAAATCATCGCCCCCGGCAACATGGAGCGGCCCGTGCGCTACATCAGGAAGCCCATAGATTACACCCTGCTGGATGATGTGGGGCACGGTGTTAAAGTAAGTTTGGCATGTTTGATGTTCACTAGACAAGCATCATTCTTACTATTGTTCATACTTAGGTTTAGGGTTTTTGAAGAAATTATAAATCAAAAGTCACATCATGTAGAATTAATGTTGACTAGAACCTTTTTTTTCTCTCTTTCTAATAAACCAAGAAAAAATACAAGACCTCAAGTCAGTACATACTACATATAATAATTTATTTGATGGGGGGGAAAAACTGTTTAAGCGTACAGAAAAAGGTAAAAAAGAATCCAATGTTGGAATAAAATGTGACTAGTTAATATACAATAAAATATAAGAGAACCTGTTATTTCTACCATGTTGCTGTTTTCAAACTCAAACAATGAAAATTCTGTCATCATTTACTCACCCTCAGGTTGTTCCAAACCTGTGAATTTCTTTCTTCTGCTGAACACAAAAGAAGATATATTGAAGAATGTTGACGGTAGCCATCGACTTCAATTGTATTTTTTTCCATGCCATTGAATTTAATGGCTACCATCAATCATATGGTTACCAACATTCTTCAGAATATTTTATTTTGTGTTCAGAGTAAGAAAGAAACTGACACAGGTTTGGAACAACATGAGGGTAAATGATGACAGAATTTTCATTTTTGGGTGCACTATCCCTTTAAGTGTAGTTCAAGCAGTTGGATAATTTTGAAATGACTTTTCCTTGATGAAATGAATAAAAATTATGCACAAACTACACCTGACTGCTTTACAGTATTAACAGTATTCAAAAGTGGATTCAACAAACTGATAAAGAAATTGATCCATCATGATCTACTGTGTGTGTGTGTGTGTGTGTGTGTGTTTGTAGACCCCTCTCGGGTTTCCCTCACTATATTCATGTTATTAAATTATTCATGTCCATCAGTGTCAGCTCTGAGCTGTTATAATGACATTGCTCTCTGGACCCTCTTACCGATGTTATCACATTAGATTGGCGCTATCTGAACTGAGATGTAATTAAGAAAGATGTCTTTGCCTTTTTACTTTGACCTTTATGTGTCTTTTATGGTTTTTATGGGATGAAGCCATGATTGGTGTGGATGGTGTGTTGTCAACATTATTCACTAGCTGTTCAGCCTTTTCATTCCCTATACATATAATTGAGGCAGATCTTGAGGGCATGTGCCGGCAGCTCACCCCGAGACCTGTTTTAACTGCTTCATTAGTTTGGTGCTGATGTGCGCTGGCCTTTTCCCCCCCGGCGGAGTAAAGGCCCGCAGGCTGCCCTCATACTGGCTCTGTAATTAGGACACTTAACTCATCAAATGATGCTCTCTCTGTGTCCGTCACCTGTGATTGACATGCCCAGAGGACACGCCTCTCTCCTCCGCCATCAGTCACAACTTTGTTTCCATTATCATAATCGGTGGATGTCGGATTGATACCAAAATTTCAAAATTCAATAACAGTACTAGTAAAATTTTAGTTATCAATCTCAATGTGACCACAGCAAAATGTAATATGTTACTGAACATACTAGTATTTTTTGCAACAAGGTGTTTAAATTAAAATGTGTAATTATTTAAAATTCTTACCTAATAAAAAGGTAATAACAAAGTAAGGACTGTTTATATATACCATGGTACTGAATGAACTACCTCATAAATAAATAAATAAATGTATGTATGTATCGATGCATGGATAGACAGAACAGAGATAGAACACACATAATATACATGTGTGTATATATATATATATATATAGAGAGAGAGAGAGAGAAATTTTTTTTTTTTCACAATATTACTTATTATTATTATTATTTACACAATATTACTTTACTGCATTTGGCGAACATAAGAGACTTCTTTCAAAAACTTTTCTCTCTCTCTCTCTCTCTCTCTCTCTATATATATATATATATACACACATGTATATTATGTGTGTTCTATCTCTGTTCTGTCTATCCATACATCGATACATACATTTATTTATTTATGAGGTAGTTCATTCAGTACCATGGTATATATAAACAGTCCTTACTTAGTTATTACCTTTTTATTAGGTAAGAATTTTAAATAATTACACATTTTAATTTAAACACCTTGTTGCAAAAAATACTAGTATGTTCATGAATCATGGTTTAGTAATGTGTTCATTTGGGCATGACAAAGCTTACCAACCCCAAGCTTTTAAATGTTAGTATATACTTCAGTCATAAATGTCAGATTTTTATCCATTAAATATATATTTTTTACATATTCGTATTTGACGCAGAAGCAATTACCAAATACTGTTAAGCATTATATCATATTTATTAATGACTTACTAAAAAAAGGTATTATACATTGTTAGCAACATGTTTGAGGAGTATGGGAGTGTAAAATTACATTTTTCCATAATGTTATGGCATATTAACTCATATTAGCTTAGCTAGATTGTTGTGGACCAAATACCAACAATTCTGCGAAATACGTATTTGAGGCAGTTTCCTTTGAACGATGGTTAACATATTTGCTCTGCAGCTATGATTATAGGTTTTTAGCTTTTAAAATGATCTGTAATATGTTAAATTAAATCCACATGTGAGTGTGACAAAAAAGCATGCCATTGTCACATCGCGTTATAATAAAGAACATTAGGGATAATTAGAAATAGTGTAAGCTAGAAAAGACATTTGATTGGATTCATAATTCTGCTTTCTGTTGTAAATGAACCTGATTAGATGGTAATTATGACTGACGTTTATGCGATTATCATTCTATGCAGCTTTGACTTTCTGCTCTGTCTTGATTCCTATCAGTCAAATTAGATCAGTGTTAGGGTTAGGATGATTAAAAAGTGATTAAATAACACGATTTATCTTCTCTCTTCCTTAATGCTTTCACTTAGTGGCTTAAAGCAAAGGTAAGTACAGCCTTACACAACCCACAATGCATTCTGGCTCCTACATCACTACCACTGGTTCTTTATTTCCAAACATCAAACTTTTTTTGTACAGTGTTGTTGTGTAATGAACATTATAGTGCATCTTCATAATTCAATATGAGAAGACTTTTTTCATTTATTTGTGAAAAACTGGTACCATTATAGGAGTGTAATGGCTTAGTAAAATTCAGTCTGCATACAACACATCATAAAACCATCATATTTTACGGTTTTGTTCAGTATAAATATTACTTTGTAGTTTACGTCATGCTGTATGTTTGCAACTGATTAGCATTTAGAATAAACAGATATTGTCATGACTGTAAAGGTTGTCATCATGTTGTGTTCCCTGTCAAATGTCTTTCAGCAAGGGAATAACCAGCCAGCTCGGGGAGGTGGAGGAACATTATCCAGGACTAACCCACCCACACAGAAGCCCCCAAGCCCACCCATGGCAGGGAGAGGTACCCTGGGGTAAGTCACTATATTACACTTTTCATGTGTCAGTGCTGTTTTTGTGTACCTCCATTATTAGAATGTTATCAAATATGCTGTCTCATGTGATTTTGTTATTTGTACTGTCACAATTCTTGTGTTATTAGGAATCTGGCATCTGAACATCATCATTTTTTCTATGTAGTTTCTACTGTAACAAATGTGTGGTTTTTTTTTTTTTTCAGACGAAACACACCGTATAAGACGCTGGAGCCAGTCAAACCTCCTGTGGTGCCTAATGACTACATGACCAGTCCGGCTCGCCTGGGCAGCCAGAACAGCCCAGGACGCACTGCCTCGCTCAATCAGAGACCCCGAACGCACAGGTACAGCTCACACATGCACAACACATTCACAAGACAACACAGGCCTTCTGATGGGACACTGTGCTGGGCATACTGGAATGTACACTACTGTTCAAAAAGTTGAAAAGAAATTAATGTTTTTATTCAGCCAGGATGCATTAAATTGATCTAAAGTGACAGTAAATAGTTTTATAAGACTTTTTAATAAAAGATTTATGTTTTCTGTTCATCATAGACTCTTAAAAATGTAATGTGGTTTCCTTAAAATATTAAGCAGCACAACTGTTTAACATTGATAAAAGTAAGAAATGTTTCCTAGATTAATTTCATGTGAAACTGAAGCCTGGAGTAACAGCTGCTGAAAATTCGCATCACAGGAATAGATTACATAAAAAAAAAAAAAAAAAGATTCTTTTTTTAAATTGTTAGAATATTTCACAATATTACTGTATTTTTGATCAAATAAAAATTAAAAATCTCACTAACTCCAAACTTTTAAATGGTAGTGTATGTTATTTATTTAGACTTTCACGAGAGCTAGAATATAAAAACACCATCAGAAAAGCCAAACATCAGATATTTTTTAAAGCTTGCAGTTACAGTTACAAGAAATAGTCTCAATTTTGAGATATAAAGTCACGATTAGGAGAAATAAAGGCCCAGAAATGAGCTTCTGTGTGTTTCTAACCTTTAAAAAAGATTTATGTTGGTGCAACTTTGGAACATCCTTAAACTCTCATAATCTCCATCTTTATTTCCTTTTCCTTTCTCAAAACACTGATGTGTCAGTGAAGTTATGCCATTCACTTACCCTTATTTATTGGTCATTTTTTAAGTTCTATGGTGCTGTAGTATAAATCTGGAGGTCTTCTTCTCTTTGCTCATAAACTTGATTCACTTCTGTCATTGCTTTCCCAGCAGGCTTGTTATACTCACTGAGGAAAACTGAAGGTGAATAAGGTTGAAAATAACAGTAACCTTTGGTTTATCACATTTATTCTCCAGGTTCAAGTTATAAAAGGTTTTGATAGTGCCATAAATTACTTTATTGATGGGCTGAGAAATGGATGCCACTTTGTGAATTTATGACAATGCATGCTTGTTGGTTTAATAGCTCTCTGTAACTCTATTGTCTTTCTTTGTCTCAGTGGCAGTAGTGGGGGCAGCGGCGGGCGAGAGAACAGCAGTAATAGTATGGGAATCCCTCTGGCTGTGCCAACACCCTCACCTCCCAGTATGGCACCAGGTGACAGCTAACATTTTTCACAGTGGCCATTAGCGCTGGGCGATGAACAACATCATATCAAGATGATCAAATTTATGTCGATAACATTGATAATCAATATGGAAAAAAATATTGTGATAATATTTTTGGGCATATCGCCCAGCCCAAGTCATTATTATCTGTAGCCTCAGGCAAACGATCCAGAGTGATGTCTGGTTCGGGCGAAATGAATGTTTTTTTTTTTCTCTTGGTTTATGTAAAAAGGTGAGTTGATTAGGAGTAGTTTATTAACTTTATATGCTTTACACATGGTAAAACACCTATGTTTCACATCATTATATGGTACTTTATTAATATAATTGCGGATGTCATTTTTTGATTTCGTAAACAAACTGGTTAATCAGTTATTAGAACCTTTATTCATTGAAACGAACTGTCTGAAAGAACCAGTTCACTGAAAAGAATCAGATTTCCCTGTTTGGTTGAGGCTCTGGATTGCAGCTAATAATGTTGTAAATAATGTTCAGATTCTTGCACAGACCAATCGTTTCGCTTCATAAGACCTCAATATATCATCAGGAGCCACGGGTATTAATTTTGACTCTCAAAAATGACAGTAGCCATTGACTTGAATTTTATGAATCACAAAGAACCTTCTTTACTGTTCTACTGAAAAAAAAAGTCACCTACATCTTGAATGGCCTGAGGATGAGTAAATTAACAGCACATGTTTGTTTTTGGGTGAACTATATCTTTAATTTGCACTGAATGCCATTGCATTAGATAACAAATATCAAGCTCAAATGTGTAATTTCTTAGCCACTAGCAGCACCAATCACTTCTCTGTAATAAAAGAGGTTACTAGCAGACCTAGTAACCGATGATCTGCCTGCTTTTCTGCTTTTCATCTCTTCGTGTCACAATAACACACAACGGCTTTTACCTTCTGTCTGTTTATCTGCCTGTGTGTAACTCTTTGGGCTTGTTTTTGCCTGTTATCATCTGTCTGTCTGGCTGAATGTGTGTATCTGCGCTCCGTGTGACTCCAGTGTCTGTCGCTCCACCACCTCCTCCCTTGGCGCAGCTGACGCCCCAGATTCCTCTCACTGGCTTTGTGGCCAGAGTTCAGGAGAACAGTGAGTAATGCACACAGAAGCATAGTGCATAGACCGTCACATATGGTCTCCGTTCACCTACCTGCAGCCTGCACTGTCGGAATTATTCTCCGAACCTGAAATTTTACATTTAATATTTCTATTTATTAAAATATAGATATTTTGAATAGATAGAATTTAAACCGTAATAAAATATAATATAGTTTTTTATTGGTGTGTTCTAAGGTAAACATCATTATTTCTATTGCTCATCTGTAGGGTCAATGACAGTCTATTGATTTAATTTATTCAAAACAAAATTCATACATACATGATTAACATGTTTTTAATTTCTAAATTAATTTTAATATTTTTGGGGGGCATAAAGTTCAAATTTTCAGCGTCCTGATATCATAATTAAGAAAAAGTAATTTGAAAAAATTAAATTTTTATGTGTTATTGGCATCTCTTTTTATTATTTCTTAGAAAGAATGTAACAAAAAATTGATCCGTTGAGGAATTATAGTATACACATGTGAAACTGTTTCGTTACAATATTTAAAAAACATTAAAAAAGTGTTTTCTTAACATGTTCTTGTACCCGGGAATTATTTGATTGCTTTACTTTAAATGTAATGCGTACTGTGCCACCTTCAATATTAAGAGAAGCATTTCTAAATGTAGGATTCTGACATTAAAACTGAATTATGTCATAGTGAGGGTTTCCCCTCTTCTTTGTCCTCCAGTAACAGACAGCCCGTCTCCACCCCCTCCTCCGCTACCTGAGGACACGCCTTTGTTTGAGGAAGCAGCTCCGCCTCCTCCACCTCCACCTGTGGATTATGATGAAGAAGACGCAGCTCTGGTGCAATACAATGACCCCTATGCTGATGGAGACCCTCACTGGGCCCCAAAATCCTACTTAGAGAAGGGTAAGAAAGCGCCCTCTGCCTTTGAGCTGACATTTTCTCCCTCTACAATGAAGGACCTTCATAGATGGATGGATAGATAGACAGATAGATAAATAACCCACGTCATACTAACCGTGTCTGCTCCGTTTCAGTGGTGGCCATCTATGACTACGCAAAGGACAAAGATGATGAGCTGTCCTTCATGGAGGGCGCCATCATCTACATCATCAAGAAAAATGATGACGGCTGGTTCGAGGGCGTGAGTAATGGTGTGACCGGACTGTTTCCTGGCAACTACGTCGAGTCCATCATGCACTACGCTGACTAATGCTAAATCCCAGAGACGGCGTGCAATGCAGCCAATCAGTTACAAACATTGCAAAGTGCATTAGGATATGACTGAATGTTTGTTTTCGTCCAATCGCCAATGTATCCAAGCATCTGCAGTGCTCAAGGTTTGAGGAGACAGAAGAATATGAAAAGAAACAAGTCTCGCTGCTTTCTGCTTAGGTTGCCTCATATATTTTGTACATATATTACAGTGAGACGTTGCCTGTAGGCTGTTGCTAGTGTTTGTTTTTGTGCGTGTTTTGTCATCGTATAGAGACCCGTATTTGCCAAGTGTCCGCTAGGGCTAGTTATTTTTGATTTTCTTGTTTTTTTATCTAAACTGTCAAGCTCTTCCTTTACGTGAGGAAGAAATGTTTGAATGTCATTTCTGGAATATTATAATGCCTGGTAAATAATTAGGCGACAATATAAAAATGACAATTACGTCTTTACCTACGTTTCGCCTTCAGGTTTTGCTAATGTTTTGGCTAATCATTTTACCTCATGACTGTAAGGTGAGGGAAAAGACCGATGCAGTAATGTGCAGAGATTCTCCTGCATATCAGACTAAACTTCATAAACCTGTCAAAAATATGACCACACTATATATATATATATATCACCCCAAAATAGACAAAAGAAATGATCATTACGAATTATATTTTGCTCATAGACAATGATGCCTATTTTTTTGCATTATGGCATTATTTTCGTGACAATTAAGCACATTTTCCCCAAAATTCTTACTATAATGCAAAAAAAAAAAAAAACTCATTCTCATTGCTGTAATATCTTTCTTGTACTGCCATTTAATTTATGCTGATTTAAGTATGAATAAAAAATGTATTACAGTAATGATAATCAATAATGGGAATTAAAAAAAAAAAAAAAAGTTACGTCTATATATATATATATATCACCCCAAAATAGACAAAAGAAATGATCATTACGAATTATATTTTGCTCATAGACAATGATGCCTATTTTTTTGCATTATGGCATTATTTTCGTGACAATTAAGCACATTTTCCCCAAAATTCTTACTATAATGCAAAAAAAAATAAAAATCTCATTCTCATTGCTGTAATATCTTTCTTGTACTGCCATTTAATTTATGCTGATTTAAGTATGAATAAAAAATGTATTACAGTAATGATAATCAATAATGGGAATTAAAAAAAAAAAAAAAAGTTACGTGCAAAAATTCTTGATGGTCCTACAGGCATCGTTTCCTTTATGCAAAACAATTCTTTTTCTTTTGTGACCTAGACATGTTTTCATGAGATTCACCCATATACTATGAGTATAAACTGTGCCAAGCTGGTCTTTGATGGTGTTTTTGTTGAAACTGCTGAAGTTTTGTGAACTTTATTATGTTGCACTGAGCGGGCGACACTGGCTCACTAGCGGAACCAGTCTCTAGCATTGCCCACAGATTCGAGTTTGTTACATAAAGTAGCAGAAATTAGTTTCTGTGATTGTATATTTCATGTAGGGGGACCATGCAAAGCTGAATTTGTCTTTCTGTTTTGGCCAGTTCAGAAGTTTTGCTGAATTTAGGTTTAATGAAAAAAAAAAATCAAGTTTAGTGTATAGTACTGATGAATGTGAGCTCATAACTGTTAGCATGGCACAAACATCGAAGATGATTCTGGTTTCTGGTTTTTAGAAGCGTCTTAAACTGCTGTTGAAGGCGAGCAGTGTTTTAATTTATTTAATCCAATGAAATATCTGTGAGAATGTAACTCACATAGAGCTGTCTGAACAATGACCAATGACTAATGTTAAGCATTGCAAGGCCTTGTAATATGATGTGCAAGTGATCTGTAATTTAAATGTTCCTTTGCAGATTATCTGCAAATAATATAATCTCTATTATCGTTTTGTATATATAATCTGTTTTTCTTTTTATGTACAGTCTCTTTTTATAATAAAGCACTCTCCTGTGCAACATACTGTTTTAGATATGCTAGATGACAAAAGGAAGAATTTGATTTTAATTGATTTTTAATTCAGCGCAACATAAAAATAGCACATTTTTAAAGGGGTGGTTCACTGGGGTTTTTCTAGGCTTGATTGTGTTTAAACAACTACATGTTAATATCGTTTATCAGTTTGAGCCAGGTTGAGAAGCAGAGGATATTATTGAAGAGGATCGTGCAGAACCTGTGCAAGCACGGCTTTTAATGGTAGGCCT